CTCTAATCCCAACCTTAGCATAGACCCTAACTCTAATCTAAACGAACTTTTAAGAATTTTAATACCAAAAATTTTTTGGAGTAATTCATAGTACAGCCAATCAAAATCGCAGAAAAGTGAGGCAGAAATTAGTAAATGCTACGTATATGAGTTTACCTGCTTTAGCAATCTTTCTTTCCAAGGAATATTTAATAGATGCATGTATACATGCATACAAATAATAAACTTATCTGCTACGCAATGAATTTAATGCTAAATACATATACCGCCCTTAAACTAATTCTATCTATGAACAGAACTAAAGCTGCTGATCTTCAACTTTTTTAGAGCATGTTGCAATATTGTGACCCACCCTCTTGCAGTAGCTACATTGATTCTGCTTTCTCTTTCCATTAAGTGATGATTCATTTGTTGAATATTGACTTTGTTAATTATTACAGTGGCTAGATAGTTTTGGTCGCCCTCTAGTAATGATCTTCTTTGGATTTCTAAGTTTGATATTTGGAAGAGTATTCTCTTTATCTGAATCCTTGTCTTCTGAACTATCTACTTGTTGACTTCTAATTTCTTTTTCCTATATACTAGCTAAATATGTTTTAACTATCTCAACAAACTCATGATTCTGATGTAAAAGGCATTTATTCATTGCGGTACGAACCAAGCCCTATATTTCTTTGTAAAACAGCTGTTCATTTATAAAGCCTGCGTCCTGGGTAGATTGCTCATTATCATTATTATTATTTAATGGCTGGAGCCATTTAAAATGCTGATTATAATTTAGTTCTTGATCTTCATCAGAAGCTACAATGTCATTCACAAATCGTTGTCCATAATAATCAAGTTCTGTTATTACATCATTTTGATATATTTTAGGGATCCATCGCATATTAATAAGCTGCATGTTGAATCGTGCTGCCTTTGTGATATTTAGAAGGTAAAAATAATGTCTACAAACCAGTCCCCGCTTCTGTTGTAACAAACAAGTACAACTATATGATCCATCTGTAAGACAAAAAACTACATGATTGATATTTTGCTTGTAACTCTAGAAACTTTTCACACCTCTTTAATATTAGAACAATCCAATTGCTGAAGAAGAAATTGAGCACATAAAAATACACAATCTGGTTCGTTTTCAAAATTATCACTCTCAGATGGCTTATTCATAGGCATGTTTTGAATTTCCTCAATATTAGAACAGAATGAAATGTAAAATACACTTTCCTTCATTTGACCAACCAAAAATTGTACTACATTTGGACGCAAGTAACGACTGATAAGTGATTTAATTTTTGGAAAAATTGTTATGGTATTAACCGTAAAAGGGACACCTCTAGTTA